CCCTCGGGAGGGTTCCTCCGAGGGAGCTCATGACGTACTACCCGGCTTTCTTTAGACCGCGAAGGCCGGGTCCTCAGGTGGAAGCAGCCTCTGAATTTGGACACCCTCGCTGTTTTCTGGGCCGGCCAATAATAACGGTGACATTTAACGTATTTTATCCAATAAATAAACCCTGTAAAATGTATTCAACAGCCCTTTTGAATGTCTCCCTAGTATGGCCACAACACCTCACTCTTGGAGCACTTTTTTGCCACATGTATCGCAAACCACGTCTCAGCTGTTTGTGGAGGTAAAATAAGTCCGCACATGACTTTAATTACGCTCAGCCATTGTTGTGAGTGTGCATGCCAAGGGGCTGCGAGACATTTATTCAGCCGTATTTCACACATGACTATGAAAGGTGGAAGAGGAAGTAGTTCCTTTGAATGTAGACAATCCGAATGTTATAGTTTCTTTCCACTGTGTTCCTGTTAATGATAAACTACAAATTTACTCTAAATTACTAAAATATCGATATTTTAATGTGAGAATCGATTCTAGAACATAAATGATTGGTATTGGAGGAATCGATATTTCAGGATCGATCCGCACATCACTAGTTACCACCTGCAAAAGCTGCTTAGCTATCGCAGCCCAGCCACAAAGCTTTCAGTGCACATATTTGTGCTGTTGTTAATGCCGGTGGTTTTGAGCTTGAACTTGAGTCAGCAAACTGTTAATGACTTTTTAAAGTGTTGACGACTGTACACCTCTGAACCCAGCTGTGGACCCTAAATGCCTCCACTTTGCAATACCACTTACAGCTGAGCGATGGTGGGCTCCTCTTACAGCATTGTACTGTAATTCAACAAACTCCTTAGAACCATATATTCTTTCACAAATGTTTGCAAAGGCAGACTCCATTGCTGCATGCATGGCTTGATTTTATACACCTGTGCCAATGGGACTGGAAACACCTGAGGTGTGGGCTAATATTTTTGTCGCATATATAGCATATGTAGCATATATCCTGAAGGCTAAATGGAAAATTATCTTTACTTGTATCAGTTAAGAATATATGCTCCAAGATTTTTTCCAGTATATTCTGTGGTTTAGTTATGCTGACACTCAAACTTGGTTTATAATTACCTGAAAGAAATGGTAACATGGTAAAAGCCTGAGAACTAAAACCCTTCCTTGTTGCTAGCTTGTAGCTTAGCGACTCACCAACCTCCCAGTCACCAACATTAAGGGGTCACAGTGAATACATGTAAAGGTTTTTTTTCTTCAGAGATTATGTGGAAGAACACCACAAAAATATGACTAACATACATTAAGACTATTATTCATGTCTGGCCTTACGTAGATGAAATTACTAACATGTTAGCAAAGAGTTGTCTAGTTTTCAATTCTAGCGGACAAAAAGCAACATCGGTATTTCTCTGAAGCTTTTTGTGTTGGCACAAGTATTTACCAAATAAAACCTCTCAAGATTTGTTATTTTAGTCACAAATTCCTCACAAATAGACTCAGAGTTTATTGTTCTTTATTGTTCTTAACATATCTACTTCCCCTCCAGCATGTTTTGAGCCCCTTTGAGGACATCTGCTACCACTGCTATGCAGACGATATCCAGTTTCTTTTAAGCCAAGATGTTTCTAAGCTACAGATTTTGAATGAGTGCTTAGATTGGATGGCTGAACACTTCCTCCAACTTAACAAAGGAAAGACTGAAGTCCTTGTATGTGCCCCTGATAGACACGTACCTAAGATAACGAATGCTCTTGGTCCCCTTGCGACATTTGTGAAATCGTCTATCAGGAACCCAGGGGTCATTTTTGACCTGGCTCTCACTCTGGATGTTCACGTCAAATCTCTGGTTTGGTCCTGTTTTTATCACTTAAGAAACATTTCTAAACTAAGCCCTATTGTATCTCTTACTGAACTGGAGATTGTCATTCATGCTTTCATTTCATCACGACTAGACTGCTGTAATTCTCCGTTTACATGTTTAAACAAAAACTCTTTGGAGCGTCTACAGATTGTTCAAAACGCTGCATCAAGACTTCTGACCGAAACATCTAAGTAATCACACGTGACACTGTTGCTCATACAGCTGCACTGGCTCCCATTTCAAGATTCTGGTACTGACTTATAGAGCTCTTCATGGACAAGCACCTGCCTACGTCATTGAACTTCGACATCCCTATGTCCCCAGCAGGTCTCTTAGGTCATGTAATCAGGGTCTACTTGTCATGCATCATACAAGGCTGAGAACTAAAGGAGACAGAGCTTTTGCCACGGTGGCAAAGTGATATACAAATAAAGTTTTACTTACTTGCTAACTTAATAGTTTGAATGCCAAAAACTGCTCATTAGCTATTTGCTTTATCAGTTAGCAAGTTTCTAAAGTTTCTAACTGTAAATGTCTAATCTGCTGCTGGAAACAAGGCTGATCTGCAGAGTGAGAGGGAACAAAACACAGAAAAGTTTGGAATTGTGAAACAAACAATAAGCTAACCGTAACCATTTTGATTAGCGCACCTTTAACGTTTGTTCATCGTAGGCAAATCTAAAAGTTTCACTCACCATGGCACCATCACTTCCAGGAAGACCATCCAGGCCATCTTTACCAGGAATACCCTTTGAAAATCAGACACCAGATGCTGACATTCGGTGACACACACAGAGGAACTACCAACAAACACTTGGCATTATAAGTACCAGCATGAAGTTTTTATTCAAGCCCTCAAAAGGTTAACTCACAGGTTTTCCAGCCTCTCCGTGTTTGCCTGGAAATCCAATTTCACCTGGCAGACCCTTCCGGTGAGAGAAAAAGCACAAAGGCATCTCATCATGTTTTGAAGCAAATCTTCCTTCACTGCTAAATCTTATGAGCAAAAATAAAGACTTTCCTTTCTACATGTCAGTCACTTACAGGAGGTCCAGTGTTTCCTTGGTTTCCTGGTGGTCCAGGTGGACCCTGAGGACCCTGAAAAATAATTTTTAAAACGTCTGGAAAAAGTTGACTTGATCATATACACATATAATGAAATAGATGGGGCAATGTGCCAAGACCTTGTTTTCTTTTCTCTAAATCTCTAAATTTGAATTTATTTTCAATTTTAATCATATGGTTTTCCTAAAGGCAAAGTTCAAATCATTAGCGCCAAGCAGCCACTAGAGGGGAGTATTGCAGCACAGTTTACCACCAATTCAACCTTGGCTAGTGCTTGAACACAGGGGACATGTCTGTTTGGCTACAGGGAGCAATTTGGGAAATTAATTGGTATAACCTGTTGGTTTTCATTTAGCCTGTTTATTTTCTCTCTATTAAAACATACAATGAAGAGACCTTTGAGAGCACTGCAGCAATGTTGTGCTTTGTGGACCACAACAAATATTGAGCAGCCCACATAATTTAAATAGCAAATTATTCCTCCTCAGTTCTCCGTGAGAGGTCATCGGGGCCTTACAGGAAGCACTGACATAAGATGTTCATGAAAAACACATCAATGTAAACAGAGCTACATAGAGGAT